GTGTGTGTGCCTCCATGCGGCGTCTGTCTGTGCCGGGCTCTGTTCCTGCAGCGCCCTGTGTCCGCGCCGCGAGTTGTTCGCGTGCTTCTCCCTTGTGATCCACGATGGGCTGCTGCACTTGGCCCCGCGGGTTACCTGGTGGGGAGCCGGCTCTGCTCAGCGGCACTTTGGCCCACGGGTTGTCCTCGGTGAAGCCAGCACGTTGACCCAGAATGAGTCAGTAAACAGGAGCCCTGGCGCAGGACGTGAGACAGACGTCCCTCGCTCCGAGCTCACGGAGCTGCTCGCTCGCTGCCGGCTGTGCGGTTGTGGGCTGAGAGCCGTGGGCCGAGCAAGGGCTGCGCCCTTTGCCTGGAGCAGCGTGTCCCCACAGCGGTGGTGGTGGCCTGGGCTGGTCCCAGGAGCTTTGCAACACTGATTTCTGATGAAGTGAGGCAATCAGAGAAACTTCAGTGTAATTGGCTGGTGAGAGTGGGGAGCACCCTGCTCCCCTCTCCAGATGGGACAAATGCAGCTTTCACTTGGGGTAAGTGAGCTTATGAGTAATTTAGGAAATAATGAGTATACACCACTTCATTTTAGGTATTGGGAGAAAGTACTTTTTAGCATGTTTTCAAAGCTGCGGAAGAGCAGTAAGGTTTTAGTGAATGCCACAATGATCACATTCTCCCTTAGTTCTTGGGGAGGTGCAGACCATATTTCAGAATAACATATACAAGTGTTGAAATAAATGGTGGGTATCCCTTAATTTCACATTAGAAACATACTTTCAAGTTTTGATGAGGCAAAATATGCTGTACTAGTGAGGTGGTCACAGTGCAGTGAAAAAAACTCTGATTTATCAGTATGATCCTGTAAATACTCCGTAATGGTATGTTAGGTCTGCTTTGCAAGCTTTGCTGTTTGCTTATACTTGGAGAATTTATTCAGGTACAAGCAAGTGTGGGCCAAAACAGGCAGGACACAGGAGCAACCACAAACCATGGCTGAAATGCAAAGAGTAGATTTATTCTCACTACCTGAGAATTTGAAGAGTCTTTACAGCAGCACCTGGATGAGCCACACAGGCAGCGGTCACATGAGCAGTTCGACAAGCAGCAGCGCAGGGATGGAGAGATCTCTCCTTGCTAGAAAATGTGTGGTATTTATCTCACTGCTTTGATATGTTTTTCTTGCTGCTCTGCCTGAATTCCCAGGACTCATACGATAGCTTTGCAGGGCAGGAATGTGAGAGATGTCCCCGCATCTATCCCAGGTCTCTGTTATCTAAGCATAGGTGTGTTGTTTGTCAACTCCATCAGGCCAAGCAGTAATCCAGTGTGATGTATGTGCTTTCTGACACCTCAGGTGCAAGTAGCTTGAGTGTACCTACAATCCTCCTCGCCAATCTACTGTTATATCCCTACAAAGCATAAGTTCAGAGTATGTATAACGGAACATTTTTTTCTCTGGATGCTTCTCCCACAGCAGATGCCCAGTCTCTTTTTGCTTCATTTAACTGAAGGCAGCAAGATAATTAGTTTTCCTCTGTAATCTTTCTTCTGTAATCTGTTTCGTGTCAGTGCTGTCAGATGTCCTCAGCAGGATGTGGTATTTCAGCTGAATCACATGGGTATCACATAAGTTGTAAAACTCAGGGCTTATCTTTCATCCTTTTTAGGGATTCCTTCTCCATAGATCTGTGGGATATTTAGAGAACAGTGGACATGTTTTGAACAAGCCAGGCAGCCTGTTTTTAGACAAGTTTTAGGCCTCACTTGACAAGAGTTTGTGAAGGACATTGTGAAGGTCACTCGCTGTGAGAATATGCTGAAGCAAAGAAAAACAAGGAGCTGTGGCTGGTGTATATGACTGAAAACAGAAACAAACCCAGGCTGCAGGTGGGGAGAAGAAGAGCGAATCAGCAAAGGAAAACAACGTGTGAGCAGGAGCATGGACTGGGTGTGTTTGTTGTTAATAGCCAATCAATAGAGAGCATTTAGAAAGCAAGGACGCTGGGAACTGTATATTAACCGTGTTAGTCCGTTAATAAAGTGGCATTTGCTTGATCACATTAATTGTCAGCAGTGTCTGTGACTTGTTCATCAACATAGATCTGCTTTGAGTCTACTCAGCTTTTTGGGTGCTGATGTGTTCAGAAAAGTCAGTGAGAAATGCAAAATGACACATTTTGCCTTGTCTGCAATATATTTTTTTCAACAGAACCTGGAGACCGGCTGAAGCACCAGTTTGCTCCTGCTCTACTTTGTATTCCCAAATACAAAGTATTTGCCCACAGGGCACTCAAGCTTGTGGCGCTGTGCTGGCGATTTATTAATGTTAGCAGTGCCACATTCAGAAACAGTCAGTGGTGAGTGGATTTCAAGTCTTGGTGAAGGAACTGCCAGAAGCAGTCAGATTTTATACTGGAACAACAGCAAGGTGAGCTGATGCCATCAGAGAGTCATACTCTGTGAGTCTGTGAAAGCGTGCAAAGCCTGGCTCTTTGACCAGTAAGGTGGGATGTCCTATAAGAAGGGGCAGAAAACCCTGCAGTGTTTATTGTTATTCTTCTGAGCCTGTCTTTGTGGGGGGAGCTTTCAAGGCCTTGTGTTCCTGCAGCAAGGATCTGGGTAGAGTGTGTGGGGACAGAGAATGAGACTTGGTGGAGGGCCAGGTAGAGAAATGCAATTTGTCCTTTCTCTCATTTTTTCCTGAGATTTTTATATTGTTTCCTCCATAGTCAGCTGTCAGATGATGGTAAGGCTTCTGGAAAAGAAGTGTACTGAAACAGGATGTTTATCTTGCTAAATAGCGTGCATCAATTCAATTTCCAGATGGTTGTTAAGTCAGGAGTGCAGAGAGAAGTTTAATTCAATTTGAAGACCTTGACTTCTTTCTTGTATTGAGTTCAAATCAAGCCAGGAGTGTCTTCTGAGGCCCCACCATAATTTCCATGTCTTCTCAAGAGTTTTTCTGAAGACTTTAGCCTTGATAATTCTTCTATTTGGCTATTAATCTGATGAGCTGGCAAAACCATGTATTTGAAATGAAACTCCAGAAACAAAACTGAGCACATACTCTCCCTCTCTGTTGTAGATCCAGGTTAATTTGCCTGCTCTAAACAGACAGCTCCTGTCTATGCGTCCCTGATGCCTAGGCTTGAGTCTGGAGTTTCATGTGGCTTAAACCCCTCTGATGACTCCTTCCTTTTGCTAGATTGTTGTGTGTGCCCTGGGATGAGAGGAGACCCTTCAAGAGGAAGCATGAGAGCCCTTTGGCATGGGTGAGATGGGGCAGTAAGAGCTGCCCTTAGCCACTGAGCAGCTGGATGAATTTGTGTGTCTGTGCCCAGAGTGGCGGCTCCACTGTGAGTTAGAGTGAGTGTTTGAGCACCAGCTTTCCAAGGGAAAGAGGGTGATTATGAAGCATAGTAGAACTTCACTGTATCTTTGGCTCCCATGCCCTATTAAATATTATGCACATAGTGTGTTCAAAAAACTGGTGTATTTTTTCACAGGATGGATATCTCACCTCTGCCTGGAGATTGCTGAGGTCTTTATGGAGGTCAACATTTAGTTTCTGCTGATGCAAGACTGAAGGCAATCACTGAATGAATGGTGGTGCAAAATCTCCTCATTTTTTTTAGCACCTCTGCTTAGGCTCTTCAGTAGTAATCCTCTGTTGTAATAAGCAAAACTTTTTTACATCCCATGTTTTATTCTGTAGAAAACCCTCTTTCCTTCCCTTCCTTCTTCCAAAAAAAGAACTCAGACAAATTTTATGGGATAAACATTCTGTGTCTCCCTGGCAGCAGCAGGGCAGATACAGTAAGAAAACTAGATAGATAGGCAGTTCAAAGTTAGAGCGGAGGCACGTGAGACACCATCTAGTGAAGTCTGTGTTACAAGCATCCTCAATATTCTGCACAAAAAGGGTACTCCTTGAGAGTTTTGAATCTGAAAAAAATCAAAGAGGGAATGTTATTTTCATGGGTGACCTAAATGTTACATAGAAGTGCATTTAGTGTATGGAAGAGCCACCAAGGGAAGATCTGCGTAATGTAATTATAGGAAATATGTGGAGATAGATGTCTTCATTTCTCTAACATAGACAATAATTAAATGAATGCCCAGAAAACTATTTTTTTTTTTGTAATTCAAGTTACAGGAAGTTTCCTGAAAACTGGATTCAAAATGAGAACTTAGATGTTGTGGGGTTTTTTGTTACTTTTTTTAAGTGGAAATATTAAACCCTCTCCTGAAAATGTGTTTTTGAGACAAACCAGTTGGAATTTGAGTTGGCATGATTTTTAGTTAAATTGAATTTCATGCTACTTGGTAGCTGTAACACAAAATGTAAAGAATGTCCAAAATTTAAGAGCTGGAAGGAAACAAGCAATGTCACTTACATGGGCACTGCACAGATCCTCCAGCTTCTGTTAAAGCTGAGAATGGTTGTCATTTCCTCTTTAGTCAATTCAAAGTCAAACACCTAGCAAGAGAAACAGCTGTAAATCACCTTTTTGAAAAATCAAACAGTGTGAAGAAAGACAAGATTAGACAGCAGCTCCACACTGGAGGGTCCATTTTCAGTCACGAAAAATGGAGGAGCAACTTATTTTATGGACATAAGAACCCTTTTATGGACATACTATATAACTCTTTTCTGGCAGGTTACTGTGGGTAGGCTCCAAGGAAAACTGTGCCTGCTGATTCCGCCACAAGCCACAGAACAGGAAATATCATACATCTGTCCAAAAGGAGGCCTGGCTTAAGCCTCAGTAGAGTGTAGGTAAGCATGAAGAAGGAAAAGGTGAGAAGGGATCACTGCTTGCTCTGCAGGAAGAAGCCATGCCCTCCCTGGAGGGGAGAACCCAAGTCACTCCTCCTGACTCACCTTGAAATTCTCCACAATGCGCTGTGGTGTGACAGACTTGGGTATCACAATCACATTTCTCTGGATCTGGAAGCGAAGGAGAACCTGCAGGGACAGAGCCCCGAGTCAGAGAGAGCAAAGCTCATGCTCTGGAGGAACTGGAGCCTATTCCAATAGCTGTTTGCCATCAGGTTTTTCAGTAGACCTAAATCCTTTCTTTGGAAGTATGATTCAAATAATTCCTATAGACAGCATTTTTTGAAGGGCAAAGAGAATAGTGGTGGAGGCTGGCATAGAAGGCCTCCATCCCTCCTGGATGGGAAATCCAGTTTTGGGACAGTCAATTCCTTGTCTTTCCACCTGGGATTTTAGCAGCCTAACCAAGGCTTTCATTCTCTGCAGGAGGACTTGAGGGGGGGACATCACATCTCAAGATAGGTCAATAATTTTTGAGGGCCAAAGAGATTGTAACTGCATATCTTGAAGGCCATATAAAATAAAACACTCTACATTGTTAGGGAAAAATCAAAGGAGTGCTGCAATTCATTCAAGGGGAATGAATTGGAAATTTTGTGCAGAAGCAACTAAGGTGCTGGTAGTTTGGGCTCAGCACCAAGGGGCTGAGCCTCCCCTGGCTGGCGGCAAATTCATTCAAGGGCAATTCATTCAAGGGACTGGATACAGCTTCTATCCACATCTGAGATCTCTTTTCCTTAATGACTGTGTTACAGGAAGGAGTACCTACTGTGCAGCCCCTACGTACCTGTGCTGGGGTTTTGTTGTGCTTGGCTGCAATCTCTTTGATCCTGGGGTCGTCCAGAAGGGAAGGATCCTCTGGTTTAGCCCTGCACAGAGGAAAGAGGATCAGTGGCAAGAAACCTCCATAGAAAGATGCACCCTAGCAACAGATAACTGTACCTAGAAGAACCGTTAATAGTGCACTTCTGTGCTCAGTGTTACAAGCAAAATCCATGCCAGCTCCCTTGCAGACTGCAGAGATCTTACCATGGTCTGTCAGGAGAGCCCAGGGGACTGTACGCTGTCACAGCAATGCCTTTGGATTGACAGTACTTGATCAGCTTCTCCTGAGTGAAGTATGGATGACATTCGACCTGCCAACACAAAGATGCAGAGGTTGGTAGTGGCAGAACTGTTGTAGTATTTTTGTTCTCCATGGATTATCTCCTAATCCAACTAGAGGCTGCCTTTTCCCCTAATTTACCAGTGGCCTATGTGTTAATATGCATCCTTAGTTTTGAAGACAACTTTTTTATTCAAAGTGCTTATACAGTTTTTGCTGTGGGGGTTTCACAAACCTTATTTCTGGGTTCTTTATTCTTACAGAAAGAATGTTTCCAGAGAAGTACTTAATTTATAAACAGTGGTTGCAGGGTGAGACAAAAGAAGGAAGTATCCACGTGCCTTGTGTACTCAGAAATATCCACTGAACAGGACTTAGAGTACTGCGCTACTTTGTTCTCCTTTTTTCCGTCTCCTCATTCAACTGCACTCAGATATTGATAATCCCTGGGAACGATTCACCTGCAGCTCACCTGGTTACATGCAGGCTTGTACTTCAGTCCTGGTTTGTTCAGGATTCTTTCAATCTGCTCATGGTTAAAGTTGGAAATTCCAATGGCTTTCACCAGACCACAGTCCACCAGCTCTTCCATGGCCTAAGACAAAGAGGAGCAAAGTCAGCAGCTGGTATGCAAGACAGGTCATGAAAAAGATGTTCTCTCTGATGTGGCTTGTTTCCCATCAAGGAGCAGTACAAAATAACTATTTGGAGTTGCAGAGTTCTCTGAGGGAAAAGCAGGTACTGGTATGTGAGGGCCATCTTCACTCAAATGCAAATTCTCATTCCCTGAGTTCGTGGAAATTCACACCAAATTACATGAGGAGAAGAAAGATGACACTTGGTAATCCACTATTGTGCAAGCACTGGAGGGCTATGCCTCACACTCTAGGCAAGATCTTGACCTAACCTGTCCTTATTTCTCTAAAATTTATTTTAGCAATTCAAGAAGGGTGCAAGAACTGTGGTGAAGGCAATTGTACAGTTCTTATGGTCAAGCAATGAACCTTTTCTAACCTCAGTCTTGTCTGCATCTCCACTGAAAGGAACTGTGCAGCTCGGTGTGCGTCAGGCAGTCAAGTAAGGCGCTCAGGGAACAGGAATAACTAAGTAAGGACTAAGCATGCACATTATGAAAAGCTACTTTGTACTGCCTTACGTTCCTTCCAATTAATTTTGTATCTGTGAGGCAACAGGTCTGTAACTGCTGAAGGTAATGAAAACATGGCAGAAACTGATGAGGACAGAGGATATGTCTCTTTTGCTGTGCCTGAACTTACTTCCCATGTCTGTAGAAGATCAGTGTTGTTGGGTATAGGCATGCCTTTGTCATCTTTGGGCAACAGCTCCTCTCCTGCCTGTGAAGGAGAGAAAAAAATGCTAGAAAGAAGACACTAGCTATGTAAAAGAACCAAACAGGAGTCTCAGGAGCTAAAGCTAATAGTGCATGAAAAAAGCTCAAATAATTCTCATCCTAACTTATTTAATTCTTCAGTCATTTCTTAGTTCATGCAGAGTCGTAGCATTTTTGCCACATTTTTTCCCACCAAAGACAGGTATTTCTGCCTGACACATTGAAGTGATGATCCGCAAAATGCACGCAGGGAAGTGATTTACTCATAGAACTATATCCTGGGGTCTTACATGAGTTTGCCTCAGGTATTGTTCCATTAAGCATGTTTAGGAATAATAGCTTCTTTAGTTGTTTTAAAAAAGGTATATGGAGGGCTCACTTTGGTGCTCTATGTGTACACCTCCATACTGGAATACATCTGAAAAAGGTGTTGCTGACAGGTGTTCTATGGGGAGACTCACTATTTCCGTTGCTATATTAGGAAAGCTAGAACAGCCAAAGTGTTTTGAATTATTAGAATTTTCTAGATGCCAGAATATTATGCCGTTTCGTTTGGCAGCTTAGTCCACAAAAAGCTAACAAGCAATACTGAGAGCATGAAATGAAGTTGAATTCCAAAGCAATAGAGGAATCAGAGATTTTGATCGGGGAGTAGCAGAAAGGAAAGGCTAAAGATATATATATATATACATAAACTGACATAAATCCTTTGAAGTACATGTAGTCTGCAAAAGTTTGGTACCAAAAAGCCTCATCTTTTGAAATCCTAGGTCTGTGAAACAACACTAAGGCTCCTACAGGCAAGGTCAGCTAAATCTGGACTAAATTTGAAGTCCTTGGTGATTAAAGAGAGAAATGGAAACCGGAACGATTTTCATTCACTCTGTGATTCTGTAATGTGGAGGAAAGAATGCCTGTCAGGCAGCAAAGCACAGCCCTCCTTCCCATAAGGTATAATTTTCAGATGAGCATGCTTTGGATTTGTAAAAGAAAGGGAAAGTCACAGCTTGTGCTGGCAGCTGGGAGGCCTGATCCTAGTGCTAGGTGTGCCTCTCCCACTATCGGAAGGGCAGAGGACACTGTGCAGAGATCTCCGGGACAGAGTTCAAGAGCCCGCCTCATATGGTCAGAGCAAAGCTGAATGAGCGGCACTGGAGCAGGGCTGGGACACACAGTGTTGTGTGCATGGATTCTTTCTGGACTGGAGCAGCAGTGGTGCTGCAGGTGGGGTGGTTTTGAGGACATCTCCCAGGAGGGGAAGCCCAGGGTATTGATGTTACTGTACCTTGAGCCCAAGAGGCCAGTGCATGAGGTAGAGATCCAGGTAATCCAGCTTCAGGTCAGCAAGAGTCTTCTGGCAGGCTCCCTTCACCAGAGGCTTGTCGTAAAATGTGCACCACAGCTAGAGATAGAAAGCCAAGGCACACTGTGACATCTTGGGTTAATGCCCTTGGAACCCTTTGGTCCTGTTCCTGAGAGGAGAGCACCTCTCCTCTTTGGGAGGTGGTGTGGAATGAGGCCACCCCAGTGCTCTTCAGGTGAGGCTTGCTCTGTGATGTGACTGGGCCAGGACACTGAATTCGGTGTGTGCAGCGGCAGTAGGAATGCTCAGGCAAACCTGCTATGGCAAGGTCAGTTTTGTGTAGAAGAGGATGGCTTAGCTAAAGAAAGCTTTCTGTTAGGTTTGACCATTTATATGTTTTCCATATAAAAAAAACAAACGCAGGCAAACCCAAGAAAACATATGAAAAGCCACAAAGAAGTGGTTATTTCTTACCAAGTAGCTTAAGAATCCAGCTAAATAGCCCGTTTTCCTTAGTAAGCAAAAGAAAGAGAACCCACCAACCGCACCTTTCTTGGGACATGTACTGAGCAGATTACACTGTCCCAAGGTGGCCAGAACCTCCTCTTCCTGACACGGCACGCACACCATTTTGGCACGAGCCTGGCTGCTGGAACAAGCATCAGACGCTGCCAGGCTCATCTCCTCTGCTGTGCTTTAGCAGTTCAGTGAGGTGTCGTAACCAAACTGGTTCTGCCTCTGTATCAGTCCGTGACACTTCAGTGATCTCAGAAGTCTGCATCACTGGTTTCTACCTTGCTTGGTGCTACCTAGCCCACTCTGCCTTCTACCGGTTCCCTATTTCTGCACCAACTGATCTGCAGATGGCCTCTCCTCTGCTAGCACCCAGCACTTCTGGGTCTCCTCAGCAAAGCGCTAGACCACAGCAGGGTGCCAACACAGTGCATATTTACTAACTCTCCCTACAGAATGGGGTGAAGCAGTAAGGTTGTATATAGGAGTAACTTGAATGATGTTACAAATTGCTTCATCCTACAGCATAAAGTTTATTTCCAGTACTTCTGCTTTCTAGTCTGAAAATACAACAGACAAAGCATTCCCCCATCCCTGCTCCAGGGGGGAAAATCATCAGATCCTGACCTTACTGACGATGAAGAGGTCCTCTCGTTTCACAACGCCTTCCTTGATTTTCTGCTGGATCCCTTCCCCGATTTCACTCTCATTCTGGTACACGTAGGCACAGTCAAAGTGGCGATACCCAGCATCGATGGCAGCCATCACCGCAGCTTTTACTTGCCCGGCTGAGGACTGCGGAAAGAAGGTTGAGATGCCAGATTAAAGCATAGAGGCCATTGATTAGTTATCTAGAAACTAAAGAAGCAGATAAAGGGCTTTGAAGAAGAGCTCTTCCAGGCAGTGTTCTTAAAGCTACATTCATCATAAAAGTGCAGGCTCTGGGGCTTGAATTCAGCCTCCAGCCGTTTGTCCATGGCCCCACTCTCCTGCCAGCTCAGCCCAGCAGCCAGGTAGAGCAGAGCCCCAGACGCCACCAGCAGAAGTCTCCAGAGCTGGATCCAGGGGAACAGAGTTTTGTGTCAGGAAGCTCTGCAATGCTGGTGCTTTTCTCTGAAGCTCTTACCTTCCAGGTGCCCAGCCCCACAAGGGGCATCTTGGCTGTGGTGTTGAGCTGCACGTAGGTCGCCATGGCACTGCACGCCGTCTGGGCAGCCTCACTTGCAGCAGCCTCTTGCCTGCCTGGTTTAATAGTGACTAGTCACTGGCCGGGGCAGGGCAGGATGATGCAGCAGTGCCAGTACTCTGGGTCCTCCCATATCTGGCAAACAAGGTTGCGGCTTTTGTTCTGTGGACTCAGATCACACAGGTTAATGTAAAAGCTGAAATAAAAGTTGCAGAGGTGATCACCACTCTGTGCGTGGAATGGTGCACTCTGATGAACTTTCCTCTTGATGGGTTTCCTTATCAAAAGAAAAGGGCTGAGGGCGGCTGTGCCTCCATCTGGCTTGTGTTTGTGCAGTGTTCAGCTCCTGCAGTGGCCTGTCCCTGTGCCATGGGCTTTTCAAGTGTGTCTCACTTGTGACATGCGCTGAGGTGTTGCAACACCCTGTTGTAGTTCACCCTGTGGGCCACCTGATGGAGAGTCTGTTTTGTTCAGTGGCACTTTGGCCCAGGGTTTATTAGTGAAGCCAGGGTGTTGTCCAAAAGTGAATCACTAAACAGGAGCTCTGGTGCAGGACATGAGACAGAGGTCCTTTGCTCCGAGTTCACGGAGCTGCTCCCTCGCTGCTGGCTGTGTGGTCGTGGGCCGAGAGCTGTGGGACAGGAAGGGCTGAGCCCCTTGGCTGGAGCAGTGTGTCCCCACAGCGGTGATGGTGGCCTGGGCTGGTCTCCCCTTGACAGAGCTTGTCACTCTGCGTGCTGATTAAGTGAGGCAGCTAGAGATATCTTGGTGTGAGTTTCAGAGGAAGAAATAGTTCCTCTTCACCCTCACGCATGAAGGTGATGGTATCTACACTTCACAGGCTGGGAAGTAAGGCACAGAGGAGAACAGGGAACTTCACACAGGGCATGCGTGACAAAGGTGAGAAGTAAAATTAACTCCCCATTATTTCCCTGTGGTAATATTCTGGAGTTGCCTGTTTTTTCTTTTTATTTTCACTACTCCTTGTTTTATTAGTACAGGCAACAGGCATATCTCTATGGCTTGTTTTCTAGTCACCAATGTATTCACAAAGAAAAGTTTAATAATGCAGAGAGGCGTATGAGTGTAGAAGAGAAAAGGTGCCCTGTAGCCCATGTAACTGTGTGGGCATCGTGGATGTCGTATATAATTGGTATCATAAAGTAATAGGTCCTTTTGCACAAACTTAAAACAGGATCCAGGTAATGTTAGAGAGGTGTATTTTAATGTTTGCTCACACGGGGGCAGAGTTAAACTTGTGTGTGGTCGCTGCTTTTGAATTTTTTCAATAATCTCTCAACAGATTGAATTGCACATTGCATTCCTGAGATTTTGTGATAATGGGAGGTTGGAAATCTCTCTTTCTCTGTCTCTTTTCCTAAAAAGGATAAAAAGAAAAAAAATAAGGTGGATTACATTTGTAATAAATAAGTAGGCATGAGAATTTTCTGGTCACAACTCAAAAGATACAATCTGAGTTTTGAAGAGGAAATTAGCAATTATCACTAACATACTGACTTTTTGAAATCTCTGATCCTTACATTTCCTTTTCCCTGCTGTTTTTTGCACTGAAATGTGTGATACTGCTTTTTCTGCCTCGACGCACCACTCTGTCAAAGATATTTCAAAACTTGCACTTCTAAGCATTATTATGCAGGAGTAGGCATATTAAGATTGTTTTCTCCCTCTTTTTAACTGGGCGCTTTCTTAGAACATGTCATATATCCCAGGGGAAACAGAAAGACTGCCTAAAATTTAGATTGGTTGGATTCCCCATGACTGGTGGCACTCTAATGTGCTCGGCACCTCCAGCTTGTTTTTGACTCCAACGATCGATGGGAATTGTGGGTTGTGACAGCTCTTAGGAAGCAGTACAGGCTGTACAGAGTTGGGTTGTTAACTACACATTTGCAGCCAGAGGCTACTTCCATTGGGAGATTTCCCATTGATTCAACAGCGTGGGAGCAAGCCTTTTGTTAAAATGTCTGCCAACAGCGTCAGGTCTGTCTTTCTTCAGCCAGTCTAATCCGAAACTCCATCCAACCTGTTTTGTGAATGGGCCCTGATGTCCTCAGGATGGTTGGATGTCACGATTTCAACACTGAGTATGTTTTCCAGTGCCTCATCACCAGAGACTCCCCTCTGTACTCCCCCTGCAGCTCACGATGCAGCCATGCTGGTGGCTTCAGCACAATGGGGTGAAACAAAATTCCTCAAGACTGCATCCCAGCCTTGGCCTGAGCATGATGGTGTCTGGGGAAGGAAACAAAAACAGCAAGAAAAGTAAGAAGTGACCTTTTACCAAGCACTTTTCCTGCTCTGTAGTGTAGACTCATGGGCTCGAGCTGATTGAACAGGCACTGGGATATCATCCCAGGCTAAGAAAGCAGAGCTGCTAAAAATGATTTATGGCTTTTTTTTTTTTTTATACTTTTTCTGTGTCATAGTGTGCTCCCCTCTGGAGAGAGATGAACTTCCCAGAAGGAGTAGTCACATTATAACATTTCCACAGCATTGGACACACAAGAAACCTGAAGTGATACATTTTGATTTCTGAGGAAACCCCAGCCAATCTAGCTCTGAAGCTGTAGTAACTATTACTGTTACAAATAGAGGAAATAGGGAAACGTCTGTGAAGTATCCGCTTGAAACTGCTCTAAAGACGAACCTTTTAACTTAGCAGAGCTGCAGGAAGCTACGGTTTTGAGAGCTACATCAAATGGGGTGGTTTGGTGAAGAGATGTGTAACTTGCCAACACAGGGGTACCTGAGGGTAAGTAAGACAGGAAGAGATAGTTAATAAAGCTGTCAGGTAGTGATGACCAGACCCCTGGAGGCAGTGGAGGAGATGTTGACAGCAGACAAGGGCAAAACAAGGCATGTTCACAGTATTCCTAAAGTATGATATGGTTACATTTTCTTCTGAGTCTTGTCTACATGAAAATCTCGTGCTATTTCATTATGTTGATGCAGATGCCTTTTTTTGGACACGTATCAGTTGAAGCATGTTGTATATTGATTTAACTTAAATCTGTTCCTTACCACTTCACTTAAAACAGTAGAAAGCACTCTTCAGCGAATTAGCATCTGTCCTCCCACAGACTTAGCATTAATTTAACAGCATCAGTTTTTGAACTGGTTTAATTAAACTACAACTTACTTGCACAGGCCGGGACTGGTTGCTGCAGAAGCAGAAGCATGTCAGTGTGTTTGTGTCTTTTCTCAAACTGGTAAGAAGAAACCTTTTCATCGTAGGCTGGAGAGGTGGACTAATGTGGGACTGGCAAATACTTTGCTTCATTTTCTCTGGGTCAAGCCCTGTGAAAAGGGTGGGTACCAAAGCACCAATAACAACCATACCTTCTCAGTTGTTTCTGTGGAAGAGTGGGCTTTGTAATGAGAGGCTAAGCAACTGAAGTTAAAAAGGAAGGACACCATGGCCAGCCGCCTCCAAACTCATCTACAAATCGAAAATGTGCCCATCCCAGACCTACATTCCTGCCCAGTTCTGTTGGTAAGCATGGTTATCACAGGAACGAGATTTTCCTCTCTTGTATATGCAGACTGTAGGTTTTCCAAAGCTCATCTCTTTTGAGAACAGTCTGCTATTTTTCTTGCCAGTTGGAGGCTCTTGTCCTCATGGAAGGATAGTTTCATGCTCCATTTCAAGCTTCAGCAATCAGCCACGTCTAGTTTTGACAAGGAGTGCTTCAAATGCTTTAAGAGTGGAGGAAGGGCTATATTTGCTGATTGTGAAATGTGAGAGTGTTGAAAATATTTATTTGCAAAACAAACCGAAATGAAGCACACAGTAAACCCCATCTTGATTTGGAACAACATGAAAAATACCACTGTAGAATCTGTGCAGTTAGAACTGAATAGAAATTGCTTTATAACCTGAACTCATACAGAACAGGGGAGCCAAATTGTTTTAGCTGACTGAGTTACTCAGGTTTTGTGAATACGAGAGCAGAACCTCATGTGGTCTTTCTCCTGTCACATGGCAGGACCCGTGGGTAATAGGAACATTTACTGGGGATGTGGAAGGTCCAGTGATTCCCACAGAAGTTTGGCTTATTGTCCTTCACTAATCCATGGATCTGCAGTTATTTCGCTGTATGCTCCAGGTTTGTTGTAGGGTTGGTCAGATGGGCTTCCACACTCTCAGCATCTGTCTTTTCCAGAAGTAATTTGGGGCATGCAGGGAGGGGGCCATGAGCTGCAAATTGTTCTGGCAGGATGCTTCCAGCTATTGTCTTGTCTGGGGACTCTTGCTTGTCCTGTAACCAGAACATGTCTCTAAACCAAGGGGCTGTGAAAAGCTGGTGGCCAGGTGTAGGTTACTGCACAAGCCAGGAAAATTAATTTGGCCTGTGCATGCTCCCAACTGCCCCTGGAATCTAGATGTAACTCAGAAGACCAGAGGAAGTAGCTTCTTCATGGCTAATGCTTGTGAGCACCTATATCTTTAGAAGGGCAAAAGACCTTGGTCAGATAGTATGGGCCTCATTTGATAGTATCTTTCTAGAGATATCATAATGTTTTCCCCCCGAAAAGATAGATGGTTTGTTACCAGATATATGCTATTTCTGCAAATGCCTTTTTAAGAAAGGCAGGACCATACCGCTCAGAGATTTCCCTCACAGATCCATTGAATTGCTCTTGGCTCAGTTACTTATTTGGTATGTTGCAGATGCAGACTTCGACAGGGAGGAATAATGACTGCAGTACTGAATGTTTAAACAAGTGTCTCTGGGAAGCAGGAAGGTGTCCTTTTTTTGTACCATAAAAAAGAGATGCTTAATTACAGGCAAAATATTTTTCCAGGCTCTTCTGTAGACAACTAGATGTGGTGGCAGTCGAGAAGCATAGACTAATGCTGAATCAAAAAATGGTGGAAGTCAGGCACAAAATTATTTAAATGAATAGGTTTCCATGTAAGTAAAACAGGTGTGAGATGAAAACCAGAGCTGAAGATTTCTGGGAAGTCAGATATCCTGACTCCACATGCA